TAGCTGTATTGATTAATAACTAGTATCAGCCATATAATTAGCGCTTGCCAAAGCCAAGTAACTATATTCCTTCTTAATTGAAAAATCAAAAGAAAAATAACATTTCCTTCCCAGATTTGCTCTGAGTTTTATTTGCATCATCCCTGTCAGAGTTAGACTGTTCTTCCTCTTCCTCTTTCATCTCACCACCACTTCCTTTTTCCTCCTCACCTCGTTGCCAACGCTCAACCACTACGTCACTTTTCTAAATCATTTCTTTTCACTTTTAGAAAGAAATGATAATCTTTCAGATTTTAATAGCGCAATTTTTTACAGTTGGTAAATTTGAAATGTCTTTTTTAAATGTACTCAAAAAATGACTGGAAAACGCGTATTTATTATGCTCGGTTTGAGAGATAATGGAAATGTTTCGCTGATTGGAGCTGCTATAATTGGCTCTCCATATCGACCATGCCTTGTTATTGGCCTCTTCATTAGTTGCATTTGTTTTGATAGCTCAACTAAAACAGGCAGTGCCAAAACTATTAAATGAAAGCCAAGTTCACCAGTTGAAGAAAACAATGATGAGAAACTGTAAAAGTATAGGTAAGTAAACTCTAAAAAAAAAAACTTAGAGTTAAATTCTAAAAATCCACAACGAATCTACCATTTGTGAGATTTGTGATGTGGAATCAAGACTGCTAACAATGACCTTTCTGAGTCACATTTCCTTTTTTGGACCGGATTTCCAGCATTTTGTCAAGCGCATCACTACATCTGTTATCGTTTCTCCATGGTAATTCTCCATTCTTCATCCCAGTATTTTTTCAAGTACTGAAAGCCTGTGCACATCAAACTTTATTCATATATGTGAAAAGTTAACGTAAACAGTAATAACTTTTTTAAATTTCATAAATCATAAATGATGTTATTTTAAATGAAAAGATTTAGGCATTGTAGAGTTGTTTAATGTTCTAATCCAGAGAACGAAACTTACCCAAGGTGTATAACTGAAAATAATTTTTAGAATTTGAAAAAATACTAAAAAAAAAAAAATTCAGAAGGCACTAAAATCATGGTCAAACAAATAACAAACAACACAACATGATCAAATAATTCACTGAGAGTGGATGGAATGAGCTCGGTAATTCCTAAATTTATAATGTTTTTATGTAGTGTTTCAAAGATTAGAAGTTCGTTTGGAAAGTCTTTGGGTTATTAGTGGAATGCAGAAATTGGTCACTCTTAAAGTCTTATAGGAACAAGGAAAAGTCTGGAAGATGAGTTAAAAACACCGAAGCAATAACAAAATGAAAAAATAAGGAAGTTGGTAATATTCTCGAAGCATGTGCTATAACCATAGCAACCGATGGACGCTCCAGGTATAGAACTTTAAAAGACATTTCGCTGAACTTCTTCGAACTATTTTTTAAGTTGTTAATAATTACTAAAGGACGTAGAACTTAAAAAAGTTGACGAATCCAGAATATCAAAAATTTTAAAACCCTCATGTTTCTGAAATGGATAAATAGCTAATAGGAAAATTCAAGCGCGTCATTGTATTGAAAGTTTTGGTAGTGCAAGGTATTACATGCAGATTTTATTCTCCGTCAAACGCGTAAACAAAATTTATAGCCGAAGATGATATCAATATATGAAATGATAAATTAAGAGATAAGTCAGGATTATCACTTCACTTGACATATAAAAAATATTAATAAATGATTTCAAATACATCATTTGCCGTATTTCAAAATAACTTCACAGGACTGATATGAGGGAGATATCGACGTTCACCAAAACAAGTTGGTGGTCCACTAACCTAAAATGACACATTTATCTAAATAAAAGGGCTAGTAAATGATAAGACTTTTAGATAAATAAAATTAATATAATCATAGGATTTGTGTCATTCTTTTGGTTTTAGAACTGTAATTTTTTTGCCTAGTACTTACATGTGAATCGCTTTTTACATTAAAGATTTGCCTTAATCTGTGAAGCCTTCAAAATCCAGATGAATACAGATAATTTCAAAACGAGTTATAACAACTCATGGAAATAATGGAAGTACATTCATGCTACAATAGTATAAAATCTAAAAACGACATATTACTTGTGGTCCAATAACACTGTCTTCTGTAAAACTTCCACTAAATTCATAACCACGTTCACTGCTTTTATGATTATAAATGTAATAAACGACAAGCATGGAAATTGCTGTGAATATTATCGCAAAAACGAGTATTATCAAAAGTATAATCACCAATTCATAACTTCCATTCCTACAATAACGTTTTTATCTTGACGGTTCAAACTTCGGTTTATAAGCAATTCAAAAAGAAATTATCGAGAACATTTAGGAAGTATCCTATATTTAAGATTACAGTTTCAAAAATTGAACCTTATGCATGCCTTAGGATGAGTAATAAAGCATCGAAGTATCATGTGAAACCTGTCATTTTAAAATTATTCTGTTTATCAAACTGTATTGGCAATTATGGTGGAAGTTGTTTATAATAATTACTATGATTTCGAAAACTTGTTTTGGGCATAAAACTTAGATACGAACTGTTTAACTTCCTGAAGTGTACAGCAACCAGTTGGACAGCATCCAATATTACACAGATATGTGATTGGATTATCGCTAGCCAGGTTTTTGTAATAACATAAGTAACCGCCATTATCTAAAATAGAATTTTTCCCATAGTTTTCATTCAATTTGTTAAATTAACAGAAAGTCCATCGCATGATTCATTTTTCGAAACCCATTCGTCAATTTAGACTGAATTAGAACTTCATGCATTCACTCCATCAGAGAAAGCCTTAATTCAGTCTTTAAAGTTAAACTTAAACTAAAACGTACTCGTTTTTTCATGATACATTAAACCGCTCAGATTCTTTTTGATTTCACTTGGTATTCTTGACATAATTCTGAAAAAGATTTTTTAGCACACACAATGCATTTTTTCTCGATCCGAAATCATTTTCTTACGTCCTTAATCTTATTCATGAAGAATAAATTAATTAGTTAACATCATGAGATTTTTAAAGAACTAGGCTAGGCGATAACGAACTTGCTTCGTGCTTGAACAAAGAACAATTAATTTTATCAATGTGGCGGCGATTACAATGGACAGTTACCATGATTACCGATGAATATCAGTAACAGTAATTGACTTTTTTGCTGACTTTTATTAAATAAAGTTTCAGTTTGGTAGATTAAGAGAACGCAAGTTAGTCTAGTTTTAAGATAATAGAAACCGAAAAAGTGCTAAAGTAGTCAGTTGATAGCTTAGTACATTTTAATTCTAATCAAAAAACTTGCGCGGTAGTATGCGTCACATGAAGATGTTTCTGCTCCTGTAAACTACTCCAATGAAAATTGCTCATCTGCAACAAATTAATTTTCGTCTTATAAGTTTCATCATAAAACAGTCTAAAATTCATCATTTAAAGCGAACAGTGATTATTTCTACACATAAATTTAGACTCCAAAAAAGACTAGGCTTTTTTTTTTTTTTGAACTACATGTTTAAGAAATTAAGAAATTGGATAAAAAAGGCAGGCTGACCTTATAAGATATAGAATCCGGAATCTGAACCTCTATTCTTTCGGAATTTCAAACTTAATTCTTCCGAAAGAACACCTACAGAAGGTCGTTCACGAAATTAAATAACTTGACATTCAACTTAGTTAAATAAGAAAACGCCTACCTAAAGAATAAAGCGGAAGTATCAAACTTTTCAGCCTAAACAAATGCGAAAGAGTATTAGAGTAAAGATAAGGGCTCAGCAAATAAGCAATGTAGAGAAATGATTAGATAAGTGGTGTAGTTCGGTGCATATGCGTGTATATATGTCAAACTGTGTAATAATGACCGTGCAGGTGAGTTGACCAAGCAAGACAGCTACTAAGTCACCACTTTAAATCTGTTTGCTTTACGGGTTTGAATTACTTTTGTACTAACACTTCAGAGTCCTTGCTCTATATCGCTTGGCGTTCTTCCGAAAAAGTCACTAACATCCTGTTTACCTGTTTTCTTGTCATTCGTCACCTTCATCATTTCACATCTATTCTTGTATGTCCCTTTCTCCATCTGATTTTCAATTTTCAACAAATCTGTGATGCCATTTTCATCACCGTCATCTTCTCTATCACTCCTCATAACACACATCCTACAATTAATCATCAATAAATTGGTCAGGTAACTGAATTCAAATAGGACACGTACATATATTTACCAACGAATGTACAATATAATTTTGGCTTCTCGAAATTCCCAAAACAAACTTTAACTGTTCTTCCATAAAAGTGTACATAGTAGATATGGAAGAGAATAATTTTGCAACTTCGGAATATGTGGTATTTAGAACAAAGAAAATGAGAAATCACTGACTGATCTTATGTTACCATATGTTGTAACCAATAGATTATTTGAAATCTCTCCGAAGGGATGAATCGTCTAGTATCTACCATCGTTGCAGTTTTTGTTTATAAAAAATGATTTGGCACGAATATTTCCTGAAACGACAATCATACAGAGTTTATTATTATTGCAAATTATCTATAACAAAGCACTCCAGAGCACTGATAATGCTAATGGACCGAAGAATATACCGGGAAAATTATTCCTTCGTCACTACTTCTCAAAATACTCTATCCGGAATAAACAGTCTCTTCATCGTTCAGAATCCAAATAATCCGGTCCCGACACGAAAACAAATGATCGGTAACCAAGCCGAGCAATTTTTTCTATCATTAGCCATTTGGTGTTTACGTAGATGTACGTATTGACAGGATGCTTACGTGAAGAACGATGGGTTTACAATGCAAACTGTTAGCTGTGTTAAAAGATTTTCAAAGCAAAGGGTTGAAGATACATGGTCTGGATAATTCTGAACACTGACACTGTTCACGTTGAAAATACTGCTAAGATAGATCACTAACAAATTCTGGTAGAAAAAAAGGGAATTCGCGCAATATTTTTGCTAATAGGATAACAAAAGTTTACGAAATAATAAATGGTGGGTTATTAAAAAGGTTGGTGAAGCTAATTTTTTAAATGGTTCATTTGAATGATAAGAGAAGTAGCATCATGTGTATTTTAGTTGATATATTCGGTTATAAATAGGTTCAAGTTGCAGAAATCACGAATTTCCTGTTAATTTTATGTCATTTTATTGAATGTTAACTCCGTGTATCTAATTAATGCACCCACTTTTCATTGTTATCGAAGGAAATTGGTTATTGGACCAAAAAAAAAAAAAAAAAAAAAAAAAAAAAGAAAAGGTTGTTGCAATTCTTGATAAACTTATCGTTCTGCTAGGAACTGAAGATGCCACTGAATTTATTTGGGTTAGGAGCCGGAAGTGCGAAATCACAACAGCTCGAGAACTGTTTTCGAGGTTTATATTGTTTTTTTTTTTTAAAGGCACTTTGTGTCGGTCTTTTTAAAATACTTCAAACCACTGCTCATTTTTCGTCTTCTTACGTTTCTTGGAGTTGAGAAATCGATTGAAATCCAACAGGTCAGGTTTTGAACTACCAACAGTAAGTAGGGTGCTTGGTCTTGAAACTTATGCAATAGTAATAGCCAAATGAAGTTTATATAATTGTTAAGTCTTAGAATTTGTGGTTTTCAGTTGATAGGAGGAAAATGGGAAAGTATCATTATAGTTTTATCTAACGGTATACGGAAACATTTATTTTTTATTCATTAAATCTCTTCTAGGAAATACTGGGACTTCCGATGGGAAAGATTGGCGTGGATCAGTTGTAAAACTACCTAATCACACTGTGACATTGGACAAAAGGCTTGCTGAAGGTAAAATATGCTGTGGAATCTTTTGTTGGTTGTTTCCAATATCTGCTTTTTAATAATTAGGTGGATTTGCGATTGTATATTTGGCAAGTGATAAGCAGGGGCGTCAATATGCGCTTAAAAGGCAATTTATTAGTGATGATGTTCGACAATTGGAGGCATGTCGAAGAGAATGCCGCATTGTGGTGAGTTGTTTATGCCACCAGTTGATGAAGCTTCAGCTTTAAAAATGTACGTATAACAGCTTATCCAACTTTCAAACGCAATTGGAAGCAACTTTTTTATTATCACAAACAACTAGTGTTTTTGTTAGTTTTTATTTGTAATGGCTTTTTGCTACGATATAATTAATAGAAAATTTTGATTACTCAAGTCTGAGGTAATCACGAAGCAATGTTTCGAAATAAACTATGAATAATATTCACTGTTAAAGTTAGCACAGTCATCACTTAAAATATTTCTACTATGTTTCTAATACGTTTGCATCTCAAAAATCACTATATATATATATATATATATATATAGTTAAATGTTTAAATTTTGGAATCATTTGCAAATGTATGATAAGTACATTTAGAGTTGTTTGGCGGGACACAAAAATATTGTGTCGTATATAGATCATATGATACTGAAGAATAGTTGTGGTGTATACGAATGTTCACTTCTCACTACTTATTATAAAAGTTTGTCTGATTCCTTTGAAAGTTTTTTCAGTCTTACTTATTAGATTCATTAAGTACCTCCCAAAAATTGATCGTACTGCATAATTTCTTTGCAGATTCCTAACTATTAGCTTTGAAATTAACTATTTTTTCCAGGTGGCGTGTTGCAACTGATGAATGAACGACATTTAGCGGGGCGCTGTCTCTCGGCAAATGAAATTTTAAAAATTTTTTGCGACGTATGTGAAGCAGTTGCACGTTTGCATCATTCTCAAACTCCAGTGATTCATCGTGATTTGAAGGTACATTTTTATTATCGTTAATTCATTTTGTGCAGAGTGTTTCGGGATAGAAAGTGATAAATGAAACTTCTTTTTTTTTTCCAACTGCATAATTGAAGGCTGAAAATGTTCTGATAGATGAACAGTGTCCTGCTGCACCAGTATATGTTCTGTGCGACTTCGGAAGTGCTACGACAAAGGTTATTCCTATACCTTACTGTTAATCTCTTTCTCGTTCTTAGAATAATAGTCTTTCAATATTTTTTAGCAAAATATATCTGTGTAGCAAACCTTAGAGCTCCATATAGTTTAATAAACACTGATTAGATTTTCAGTTATTCAGTTATTAGATTTAATATATTGTTAGCATTGTAACAATTAAATATTTATAATGAAATATAAAAAAGCTGCTTATTTTACTTCATTTTGAAGGTTTTGTCATCAGATACTCAGTCACTACAGTTTATTGAGGAAGAGATTCATCGCTATACGACACTGGCCTATCGAGCTCCTGAAATGGTAGATATTTACTCCGGAAAGCCTATTGGTTCGTTTTGCTCAATTATTGTGATTATATGTAGTCAAGAATATTGCACTCCCTTGGGAAAACTTATTATTCTTTGGATTTTAGGTACAAAGATTGATATATGGGCGCTCGGTGTTATGCTATACAGGCTCTGTTATTTCAGTCTTCCGTTTGGTGAAAGCTCACTTGCAATTCAAAATTGTTCTTATAATTTTCCAACTGAGCCCAATTATCCGGAGCAGTTACGTGCCATTATAAGTATGTTCTTTTACTTTTGTTGATGAGATTTTAATTCCAGTTAAATTACGAAAAATTTTGAACTGCTGATAAACTTTTTTAACTGTGAGAACTGTATTCGAATGATTTACATTGCATATGCTGCTGTAGGAAAATTATAGCTCATGTCGTTGATAGTGGGCCAGCAAGAAATTAAATTAATTATGCAATTAATTATGTGTATTTTCTTTTGAAATAACTCAAAAAATTTGAAGAGATGTAAGCAATTAATTTATTCTGCGTAGTTTCAGAAGTACTTCTTGATCCGGATCTTGTTCGTCGTCCGGATATTTATCAAGTTTCAACGCTCGCTTTTGAAGCTGTTGGACAGCGTTGCCCGATTGGTAACTTAAATGTATGGTAATTTGATGTGACGGCTATTTACCACGAATTTAATATCAGTTAAAATGTTATTTTATTTATAAACATAGAATTACTCTTCTGAAAAGTAATAGTGATAATGCACATATTGAAAGCCTACAAAGTTCAAGTATTGGTTAAAAGCACGTATTGTTTTTATGTTGCTATATTCTGCTGAAAATGTTTTTCCAAGGTTGTTTACCAGCACTAATTTTCTTTGTATTAGAAATCTTTTTCAGAAAGTTCCAGCACTGCGTCTAATTGATGCCGTCCAACATTTGCTCCAACAGGAAGTTAGTACAACAGCAGTTGCAGGTACGTGCGCACGTACATCGACGTTCACTAATTTTGATAGCTGTGTTACACCGAAGGAAACAGCTACTTCTATTAATCCAAGATTGAGGCCAAAACCATATACCAATGCAGTTCGCTTGAATTTGGTCGATTCCAGTTCACGTTTGCTGGATGTAAGTAGTGTTCATTCCACAATTATAATTTCACTGCATCATCAGTCAGTGTTTTTAGTTGTCACATTCCTACCACATCACCAAAACTTTTTTGCAGGTATCAATCAGTAAACAACAAAACAGCTCATCTTATCCAGAAATCGGTGTTGCACATGCAGGTATTCAAATTTTATTAGTTATAATTATGTGAATATGGTCGATTTAGATCAAGTTTCGTCGCGGGATATTTTATCAAACTAGTGCTTGCAGTCTTGTTTTCACTTCCTTTATGGTAGGTTGTGACTTATTCTTCTACTTGTCATTCCTGATCTCGTAATCCTTCACTTTATGGTGCAAAAGACACTTATAGTAAAAGGGACCGTGAAATATGGAACAGTCTATTGAGATATAAATTGAAATGACTAAGCTATTATAAAATTGTTTGCTTATTAAGAGTCTTCACAAAAATCATCTTGTGGTACTGCAGAAGAGTATGGCATTGAAACTCTGAAATCAAGTGCATTCAGGTTATTTTTACACTTATATGTGTTTTGCCCTTTTTCCTGACCACTTTTTTTGTTTTCATATCTTTGATAATGTTATTGCTTGGCATTTAATGATGTATTTATAATTATATAAGGCAGTGCACATCATCATCCTAGAGCGATTCAAAATATTCAGAGAGCCAGAAAATCAGTATTCAATACTCGGTGGTGGAAACCGTACTTTCTCCCCACTAGGAAACTTTTCAGTGGATGAATCAAATAAAATTTGATAATATTAGAAATTTCTAGCATTGCGTTGACATAAATCATGTCTACAGTTATGTCACGTCACCACTAAGAGATACATTCCTTGACCAGTTATCTGCTTTACCATTAGTTCGTCATGTCATTGAGAAGCATCGAACTTATATCCTTTTAGACCATACAGCGCTTCAGGCGATAGCAGTACCAGAGTTGTGGCTGCAGAATTTACAGTTGAACCATTCGAGACAGTGACTGTAATTGTTCCTTCTCCAGTGAATTTACCGGTAGAAGTCAGTTTAACATAATATTTTTATGGCTTTCGGTTCTAACTGAAGTATTTTCCGGAAACAAAAAGGAACTGATTAAATTGGTATGTGCTTTTAGAATGATGACATTTTATGGAATCCATTCTTAATTGCGCCGTTCAGCTCACAAAGAAATGATTCAGCTGCTTCACAGAATACTGCGATGGATGATCACAGCTTTGGACATTGTTTTGACAAATTGCCAAGGCATTTAAAACATTTTGCATCAAGTAATCTCCTACTTTATGTTTGGCCTACTTGATCGAAGAATGTTTTGAATAGTTTTCTCAAATTAAAATGATTTTTGGTTTTCTGTTCATATTAGATCATACATTTGTATTTTCCGACCAAATGTTATATGAACAAACTTCATGCCCTTTATTTCAATCTGTTATATTTTAAAGGCAAAACGGTGGAAGATAATGTAAATTTAGAAATTGATGAAAATGATCCATTTGCTGCAGCACCAATTCATCACTATCAAATGAGGTTCTTTTTGTTTACCACTTTTTAACTTTGTCAGTTTTCAACTAAGGTGCTGATATTTGCGAGTTTTTTTTTTTTTTTTTTTTTTTTTTTGTCTACCCTACCAGTTGTGTCTCACTTTCAGCACGTACAAACCTTTTATGAAATATTATTTGATATTTATCATTTAAAAGCACCTTGAAACATTTTTTTTTAATCTCTCTTCTTGTGCCTCAACTTGAGGGAAATTAATCTTCAAATAATATGTATTCGACTTTCAAATTTGAAATCCATGATTAATGGGTTGAGAATTTCAGGATTGTTGAACAAGTTTCCAGAAAGAAAGGTACAAGTAAGTATCTCATTTTCACATCTCTTAAATTTGTTACGTGATTGCCTTTTTTTTTCATCTTCGAAAGTTAGCATCACTTAATGAATCCTGAACTCATACAGATTGCATCAGTGAGCTGACATTTATATAGAGTTCTTAAGCAGATTGCCATGTGTTGAAGGTTTGTGTAGAAAATTACAGCTGATTCAAAAGTTTGCAGATGCAGCACAGGAAAAAAGTTAATTAGATGGCAGTGCAATTCAAAATGCTGTTGTTAGTCATGAAATTCTCTCATCACCTTCAAATCATAATAATAAACTTTGAATATTCTTTTATCATTCATTCTGAGAATGACTTGCAGAGTTAATGAATGTATTTTTATTCAGCAGTTATTAACATCCAGAATATTTGAATTGAAAATTTCGAGTTTGAGGAAAAAGAGGAAAGCGAGAAGAAATGTTTAAAAAAGTTATTTAGAAAATTAAATTTCAGAATAGCAGGAGTTCCAAGACACTACTTTTCTGCTTTCTAGCAGTGTTTTGTCGTCGTGAAGAATAAATTAAATAAATGTTCTGGGCGGGTTTTCATCTGAATTTGTGACTGTAACTACTGTTTTTTGTGTTCACTTTAGTTCTCGGCTACTTAATTGCTTTTAACATTTGCTACATTCCTTGATATTTAAGGTCTTTCTTTAATTTTAATTTCAAACTGAACGAATGAAAAGAACGCGTTATAGGAAAATCCATTTCTTGAGGGGATCGTAATGAATAATAAAGTTTTAGGCGAATGCATGGCTTACGGCAATCGATATTTTACTCGTCAAGTATTCTAAAATGATTTGGTTATAATTGCTCTAAATTATAGTTTTTTGACTAAGTATTACAAAATGATTACCAAAAATTGGCTGTTGGATACATTTTCGGGTTACTCTCTGCTAATTAGTAATTACATAAGATGTTATGAGCATTGCACAGAAAATAAAAAGCTTATGTAAAGTAACCCAACATTTCGTCGCAGGAAGTTTCAAAAGTTACATGTTTATTGTTGTTGGACAGTTTAGGATCTTATTATGGGTAGAGTTTTTATATATCATTAGAATTTGTCTTTAATGTCCTATTATGCCTTTCAAGAGGAAAGGGAGGTCGGATTTTTCTCTTTTTTCTTTAAGTGTATATAATAACAGAAAAAAAACTGAAAAAATCAAGAATATGTCGTGATAACTTCTTTGCCTGTTCCTCGAATAAATAAAATACGAGGAATTTTATCAGACAATACTTCAAGATAGTGCATGTAATCATCAAGGCCTGAAATATTTATAAAAATTAGTTTAATTACTCAAATTCAACATTAGGAAAATTTTGAACATGAAATAAGTAAGACGCTTAACTTAATTCTTCAGTTAAGCTATTTTCAAAAGTACACTTTGGTATGCACATAATATGAAAAGCTGTAAAATTTAGCCTTCATATTTGTTTATTTGCTTTAGACATTTTGAATTAGATACCTTCTTTGGCAACGGGAGGCTTCGGTAAATTGAGCAGCACTAGCTGACTATCAGCTGAATTTGCAAGAATTAATTCATTTAGTCGAACTGCTGTGTGCATTTTACGTACCTGTAATTTTCAAAAAATTGACTGACTTAATTTCACTGTGAAATAAGGATTCAATTTAGATGTGATGAACTTTGATAATGAAATATTTGCAAAAATTAGTTTAATTACTCAAATTCAACATTAGGTTAGTAAAACTTACGAGTTGAAATAATGGTATTTTAATCATGAAATGTAGCAGGCATATTTGGAAGACTAATTTATTGATCTGGCTTATTACATACTTTTTTTTTGTCCAGCATCCTGAATTTTTTGTCGCGTTCATCTTTGTTATTTTCTCCAACTATTTCATTTTTCGATTCTGCTATTGTCACTCGCCTATTGCAGAAGATTTATACAAAAAAAATAAACAGTAGATGACTCATTGAACGCTCCAGCCTGTTACATTTGCTGTTGTGATAGAAGAACTGTGGAAACTGATGAATAACTGAGAAGTCGAAAAGTAAAACTTGGAAGAAATTTAGCAACTTCAAAAGTTGTTTAGTTGGAAACAAGAACATGAGAAGTTACTTTTCATCATGGCTTGATGGCATTTTTTCTAGAGACGATGCTACTTTCTTTGCTGAGGATACTTTCTCTTTCGACGATGCCGGCGTTTCTTCATTATCATCAGTCTTCCCCTTTGTCTCATTGTCTGTATCGTTATCGTCACCATTCAACTTGCCATTTTGCTTCATTTCTGCCAAAATCGAAGGCTGAATATTTCAAAATCTGGTTAAAATCAAGTTTTATTCTCAAATTTCAAGAGATAATAATGTTTCTTACCGATATTTTATTTAATTTCTCTTTTATTTCATACATTTCGTGCATATATCGAGTCCTTTCCTCCATAAGAAGTGTTCTTTCGAACGCATTTTTTGAAATTTTAGGATCTGATAGTTCTATGACCTGACAATATAGCATAAAATAAGCATGAGACAAAAGTCAGGTTAGTGAAGACAGACTTTATGTTAAAGTGTTTTAAAATCAAAATCTTCAAAAATGTATTCTGAAATTTCGAAATTTCTCTAAATAAAAAATAAAAACTATTAAGTAAAAGTTGTTGTTCTCATTCTTCAGTTTATCGGCTGAAATTCGAAAATATTCACTGAGTAAATAAAAGTTAAACAAAATTTGTCAGAATTGATTCAACTAGAAATTTGAAACTAATTCCAAATAAATTAGGCATTTATCATAAAATAGACTGAATACAAAAATCTCATATTGAAATGCGTTTGATTTACCATTATTCTGGCATCAATCCTTAGCTGATAAACATATTTCTGAAGATCTGCTTGCAGTTTTGTGTTATTATCCATTTCCTGTGCAATTGCTATCACTCGAAGTTTGCATCCCCGCCATACCTTTGAATAGAAATCACCGTCTGCTGCTGATCGATAATTTTTAAAATTATCACATGCTCATATCGATTACCAAATTTATGGGAAAAAAGTTCTAAAAAAATTCATAGTAGCCAACGAATTAATATTTCAACTTCCAGTTCCTCAAAAAGCCTCATTTAACAAATTATTTTCTAACAAATATACAAATATAAATTTATTTGTTAAACAACTATACTTTGCTTTGAGTCAACAAGTAAGCGACAAGTATACATAGACCGCCATCTTGTACAATCCAGTACACGTCAATGGTTCCAGAAAGGCGAATAGCAGAAACTGGGAAATTAACAATATCTTTAGCAACAACTAGGCACATATCCGTTGCAACACCAGCATGCAATTTATCTATAAAGTTAGAAGTTTTAAGAATTTTATATATAAGTCTTCCCATATCTTCGAAAAAGATAAAAGTTTTGAAATCTCTATGAGTTATAAGAAATTTGTATAATAATTTTGAACGTGCTTAAAATCTCCATTGTACTGACCAAATTTACCTGTAAATGTATGATATTCCGAATCAATAGCTTCACATAAAGAGCCATGAGTGTGAACAGGCCAACTTAATAGAAGCGTATTTGGTCGTAATCCACCCATTCCAACACTTTGAATTAATGTTGAAACACTTCCTCCAATCTATATCAGATTTTTAGTTTATTTTATATGACCGTTATGAAATTTGTAACAGATAATTCCATGATTATAGCCATTAATGGTTACTTTAAAAAGTGATTTAACGATTCCACAAGAAGAGTTAAGTATAGCCGTTTTGTATTAAATCGCTGGATGGTTCATAGACTACGGAGAAAAATTATACTCACTTGTGTTTCACCGTACACCAATGTTTTTGCGAAGCCACGAAGTCTAATTTGATTCATATCGAATTCCATTCGTGCTTTTACCTGTTTTAATACTCATAATCACGAGACTTTATTAAAGCTTTGATTCCACCTTCTTCAAATTAATAAAAAGATTTCTCTATAAACTTTCAAGTTTAAAACTCTTCTATCGAATTAACAAAAATCACAGAACGGTTCAATGCCTAAGTTATAAAACAAAGCATACCTCCTCTGCCTTTTTCCTATCATCGATAACTAAAGGATTGCCACGTATAAATGCGACAACAATGGTTAAGCCACGACTAGCTTTAAGCTGTGATGCTAAATTGATCAGGTTCAAATAGCGCATATCAACAAGTTCTTTGGACCAAGGCATTGACAGAAGCAATAATAACTGTGGCCTGAAATTATACCAAGATAATAATTAATTATCTGAATTGGATTACAGGAAATTGCCACGATACAACGGGCTAAAACATGAAATATATTTTCTATAAATATTAAATTTGTAATGAAGTTTGAAAATTATGGAAAACTACACCGGAAATTCTTTGGATGTGGGTCTTTCTCATTAATTTTCATCAGCGAATATTGCGCTGTTGTCAAGGCTAAGCCACGGATTCCATCGCCCCATTCTTTCTTAGCGCTGAAAAATTAATGAAAGCTAAAATATATATGAATAATAAGGCTTAACAATATTCGACTCCCGTGATTCCTCAATTCTTCTTCTTCTCTTCTTTTACAACTTTAAATTAAGAAACTAATGTAATAATTTACCCTTTCCATTCCACATATTTGTATATAACAAGACAAAGCACACATGAAACAATTGCATAGTCCCAATGGGTACTAAACATGATGAAAAAACACAGTCCTGCGCCAAGTAATGCTAAAGACCTGGAAAGGAGTAATTGAAATCGAATTTCCAGAATTAACAGGGACTTTTATTAAAAATACTACGAAGATGAGGAAATTCTGTGATATATAACAAACTAAACTTCGAATTTTTTAAAAATTACGATACCAAGATAAGTGCTTGGTGAGTCAGTGCAGTACCTCACGGTCGCACGCCTCACACTAAATAGGATCGTATTCAGTTACTAAAATCTGACGAAACAGCTGAGAAAAACTGATCGTTCCAGTTCATGTCGATGTGAAATTTTATTGTTTTTGTTAAAATTTCATATATTTATGTTCTCCGATCTTTACACAATAGTGTTTTGTATCGGATTTTTTACTGTCAGAGATAAAATAATTTCCCTCTATCTATTACGCTAACCAGTGGTAGAATTTGAATCGCGGTCTCCAGTTGGGTGCACCGAGTAGTGAGTGTAATGCACAGATTAAATTCACAAATGCGTAGCACATTAAGAAGAAGAAATCAACCACGGCGGCTATATGATCCATTGCACCCATCAGTATTGATAATTCCGCTATTATGATCGTTATTACCAATCTATTAAAACATCCCATTCTAAATTTATTCCCTCAGAGCATATTGACAATATCAATTATTGAAATTGTAAATGATAGCAAATAACAAGCGATTATTATTTAATAGCATGCGTTGTAAGATAATTTTAAAAGTGAAACTGTAAATACCCTTTAAATGGCTCATTTTTGGACGTAACTTTTGCAAATGGTTTCAAAACTGGTATCACATCATCTTTAGCAATTGACTGTAGGAGACGTGGCGCACCTCAAAAAAATCATATGTAAACTTAGCATCCAGGATCTTATAGTTTTCTTTCAGAATATTTGTTGCTGTTCATTTTTCAAAATTTAAATTATGCAACATTATTAAATTCAATAAATCTTCCTAATTTCGAGGTTGGAAATTCTTGAATTCATGCTTTACTCTTACAGATTTAACAATTGTGAAATCTATGAAAGCTATTCCAAACGTTCCAACGTTATACAAATAATAGTATTAAATAAGGTATTTTGACATCTTACAGTGATATCTAAAGTTCTGATGAAAAACTTAGAGACATTAAAAATTAGCTTAAAAATGAAACTCGAAATGTGTTTCTGCGTTCAATCAGAAAAACATTTGAACTTACTGCAGAGACACTGGAGAGCAGCACCAAATGTCGACAGGAATGAACCAACTAATAAAAGCCATTCTGTTGGCCAAGCTAAATTAGCAACGATCATGCCACCACGTAATGACTGTCCATATCTGTACAAATTTCTGTGATTGAAGTCTGCCTTTTTTAATCAAACTGTTTTAAACAAAGGCAAAAAAGTGCTTCTTAAAAACTTCAGTCTCTACATAAATTTTTGAGAAAGGATTTAACGAAAGTTAATTTTTGATCAAAAAATAACAACAAACAAACTTGTCTCGCAATATAGCACCATTAATTGTGGCACCAAAAACCAACGCAAGCGAGAAATAGATGAATGATGTCGTTAATTGAGCAGCAATAGTACCAGCTGGGATTGAGAAATTTGGATTCTTTAAATCTCCTGCAAATAAAAATTCATTGGTAACTTATACCAACAGCTGTAGCATTAAAAGTGCTGAACTCAATCAAACATGTTACTTAGTATTAAAATGTTAAATCAAAAATTATTTTATTAATACGAACCGCTCATGTTAGCACCGGTGAGAATTCCAGTTACTGCCGGAAAATAAATGGCAAGCAGCATGAAAAATGTTGTCTTAACGTCCTGGAATACTTCTACATTTCGGTCAGCTAATTTTCCCCTTAGATATTCATTTTTGCCAACATAATTTGGACCCAAATTATCTGCAATTCAGTGTTTTTTCTGACTTGATATTGTTCAACAATCACAAGAATTTACTATTTGCTTAAAATCATTAATATTTCTTGATGGTTTTTGATCTGAAAATTATCAGAACGATTACCGACAAATGCACTGCTTCCAAATCCTGGAAAACCATTTATGCAACGTAAATCATTTTTAACGAACATTTCAGAGCATTCACCATTTGGACAAAAATAATTTAGTAAAGGTCCGCTGTAATAAAGAAATCTTTGAAAAAAAAGGAACGAATTAAAACTACTCAACGAATAGAATGTGATAAAAAAATTTGAATAATTGAAATTAGCAAAAAAAAAAAAAATAAGTTGGAAATTAAATTTGAAAAAACTAACGGCACAGAAGCATTACAATAATTGCAAATATCAGAAAGCGGGGCGTCATCAGGTAAAACGATCCGTGCTTGTAATAAATGTTTACCCAACATGCATACACTAAATCCACAAACATAATGAAAAAGAAGAATGGATGAAATGTAAAATATTTATTTCAACTAAAATTCTATTATTTGATCACTCCTTGCTGAACATGAAATTCGGATAGGAGTTTAAATTTACAAAAATTATTTCCAAACCAATCATATGATATCTTTTAGTGAAGATATTATTTAATTAATTATTCCAATTCAAATAAATGAGTTTTTAGAGGATTGATTCATGTTGATACTTTTATAATAATTCCTAAAACTTACTGTTGCGCATCAGACGACGTGATCGTTTTTTCGATCCCACCAGCGTAACAAGCGAAGATTGATAGGATAACACAAAACAGTGATATCTATAATTATTCAGCACAGAAAAATCAAAATTGAAAAACTTTTTAAGTTAATTTCAACAACACGTAAAAAAAATCACCGGTGCAAACAGCTGGACGAATTTAACCCCCATCGCAACAATTGAAAATTCTAGCAGCAACAAAATGGTTGAGTAAAATCGCAAGTTATGCGACATCCAACCCATCAATCCTGGAAATTTATTTTGTGAGCACAACATTTGTTAGATAGAAATTCTTTAACGTTGTGTCAAAAAAATTACCTGTGTCTGAATGAACTTCTGTACCACCGATTGTCAAACCAGGAAATATGTAAAGCTGAAATTAAACTGCAACTATAAAGATAATTTTTTGTCACACACATTCATAAAGTTTCACAGGAATAAATCCGAAAATCACTCGCAAATATGAGAATTTGTCCGAAGTTATGCTGTTCTAAGGATCAAACAAAAAAACAAATCAAAGTTTTAGTGGCATAATCTCTATAAGAGAATATGACCAGTAATATTTCGACACCGCCAACGAGATACATCGCTGTAGCAACGGTATTAGCCAAATAGAACAATATGCCAACAGCTGAGCCAAATTCAGGTCCAAGATTTCGCGAAATCATGAAATATGCACCGCCACTTTCTACGACACCATTTGTTGCTATAGCTGACAAGCTTATGCTTGTCAAAAAGGTCTGCAAATAATTCATTTAATGGTTTAAAAAATTTTCAAATAAGTAATAGCAATAAATATATGTACTTCAGTGTGTAATATGTAGAAATTGCCTTCAACTGTTGAAAAATAGAAGAGGTGAAAATTCAGAGACGATGACGATCATAATAAATTTAATAGCTCAAAGCTGAATGTATACAATAAAATTGAAGAAGAGAACCGCTTATAAAACAAATACCAAAGAATTTGGTAAAATTGAGCGTATGATACCTAATGTTATCAAATTTAACCGAATTTACTGAAACGATTTAAAATGTGGCAACTAACACAAAGACAGCAGATAAACAGTAGGAAGAAGGTTTGAGCGATACCAGCGATACCCACCATCCAGAAAAGACGTATAAACATAGTTACACCAAGGATATGTTGAATTGTTGGTAGATAAACACCCAGCATGACACCAAGTTCTGCCTGAAAATACAAAATAACAATCGCTGATGCATATTTGTTAAACATTAATTTACAAATAACATTCAATTTTTCTATAGGATTTATATCAAATAATGACTAAAGTTCCTTAGAAATGAATTTATCAATAAGTATTGCTTACCTTAGCATGCTTACTTTTCTCACGTTCTAATGGGCCTGGTGTCGTATAACCCCTGAGGTAGGAGCTAATAAAAGGTTCACTTGGCTCTTCAAACAAAGCCAAGTTATTTCCGCCAATGCTTTTCCTTGCTTTGAATGAGTCCCACAACATCGAAAAACGACGAGAATCATCTACAATGATACTAAGATGCAAAAATTAATCCTTATCATTGAAATTTTGATTATAATACATTAATTGCAAACAATGAAAGAAATGCAATGATAAAAGGGAAGAAGCAACCTTCCTTATCGAGTCCAATGATAATACTTCCTTGTCGACTGTTCCTATCCGGTCGAGCCTCTCCATATCCACCTGTTGAATTTATACTGCAAGAACTACATATGAAATTGAATTGAGAAAGATAAAATTTATGCATGATTTAGTGAATTGAACGCATCATTTCACCTGTCTTGAAGGCGTTTTCTCTTTTCATTTACTAAAAACATTTAAATTATGACAATTCAATTTTTCGAGTCACTTAAGGGAAATTATGGGCAATTTAAGCAAATTGTGGGCATGAAAAGGTAAAGAAAATTTATGTGCATTTTTGATCACTTTTTAATTTTGGCACTATTTTTTCATTTACTCAAATCTAAAGGTTTGAAATGCTCGACGTAGAACAATAAAGAGATATTAATTTTTGGATTTAAAAAAATACGATTCAGAAATTAGCATCTGATATTTTCAAGATTTCCTATTTTTTTGTTTAAACAACAAATTGTCACTCTAGCGTACAACTACTAGCTAACGTGAAAGGCAAAAGGTATTTTTTACAAACCTTGTTTCAACAGCAGAATCATTTTTTGAATTATCCACTGCCAACTGTTCTTCTGCTAAGATTTCTTTCTTCATCAAGTTTATACCTTTCCGCCACGACCCCCACCTTAAAAATATACAAACAATTTTACTGATAATATTTACTTATTTGTACAGCAATAAATTACTAGCTACAAGTTGCAGTCAAACTAGCTGTTCTTAATTTACTTTTTAGATTTTCATTGATTCTTTATTTGATTTTCCTATGCCACTGCTCATTTCCCTATTATAAGTGGAGAAACTGGCCATAAAACTTCATCTATTTTAAAGTTTGAAAAGCAAAATGCTTTAAAAAATTTGTCGCAGTAGAGAAATCTACAGTTTTTTTTTTTTTTTTGCTTACATGCTTTTACAAGAAATGAATAATTTCTGATTAGTGTAAAGTAATGCTAATTGGATGTTACAACGAACAACAAACAGCATAGTCAAGAGCTATTAAATTTTCTTCAAATTAGTTAGCAATATGGCCTAAAAAACTAAGGAAGAAAGTGACACGTAAAACAAGTAATGCAATATGTGTAAGTTCATAAAAAGAATAAATAAAAATTCTAGAAAAGAAGAATGCTAATTGGATGATGGACAATTTCCATTGCACCAAATCATAGTTGAAAATATCGTCTGAGGTGCCACTAGGATCCTTCATTAACAATATCATCGTCAATTCTCCTCTCTTAACCGGTTTATTTTTTTTTATTTTTTTTTTACTATTCAATACTATGGTACAAAATTTTGCCAAAATTTTTTCTTCTTTCATTTAAACTATGCAAAAATATTTTATACGTAAAAAATTTTTTTCTATGAAATAATCCTTTGTTTGTTGAAGCCAATTCAAATACTTTTAATAAAGAAGTAAATGAATAGTTTATTCAATATCCTGCCAATTTCACTTTTTGATTTTTTTGATCATTAACAATTTCTAAAACATTGGAATCCTTAAGATTTATGCATTTATTTTTGGTCAAATTCTAGTGATAATAATAAATTACTAACACGAACAAAAAAAATACGAGTTCTTTTGAAATTGTACCGTTTTTTAAGAAGTGATTTTAAATCGATCATTGGCTCGACAAAACCGTAGTAATCCAAGTTATGACCATTTTATGTGATAATAAATTAATGAAAACTCACCAACTTGGATAAATCAATTAAAAAGAAATTCACATCATCTTAGTATATCAACTTTCTTGCCGAAAATTCGTATTTTTTCTTTTTTTTTTTTGTTTACTTTTAAGAAAAAGTTTGAAACAACTTAAGTTGAATTTTGAGAATTTTAATATGCAATCCATTATACCTAATTTAAAATCATTCGTCATTTAATGGAATGTGGAACTGTTCTTGTAACTTTTTATTATTAATTTTTTGCGAATATTTATGCATCATTAAGGCTAAATGAAAATAAGCTCAATATTAACTATTAAAATCATTAGAAATAAAAGAGGAGCAATTTTTCATTATTTGTATTGGTAAGTTGGTAACATTGGTTAATCAGCATTTATTTAAGCATTATATGTATATTTGAGGATATAAAGGAAAATTTTTCCTAAAAACTGAATGATTCAATTAAATGGGAAAAGGAGCCGAAAGAAATAAATTAATGTTTGTTAACAATTTTAACTATTTATGATTAAATGACGAAAACGATTGAGAAACAATATTTATAAGTTTGCCATTAAGTACCAATGAATTAAACCACTAAATTTAAAATGAAAAAAATATTTCCAAAATCATGCTTAGTGGACGACAAATTATAAGTAATAAAAAAATTATAAGCCTCAGCCGTCCAAAATGGAATATCTGGAAAGTTCAAAAATCAGACAGAAATCAACCACCTCCAGCCTTTCATGACCAAGATAGGAAGTATACATTTATAGTCGTGAAATAACCACAGCAAACGAATTTTACATACGCATGTTAAAACAACTCATGCCGACTTCTCCTCCCATCTTTCATGTCGTAATTTCCTTTCTTAAACGCTCAAAGAACGTATTCTAAATGATTTTACACTGAATGACTGATAATTTTGATCGGCAAAAATTTTGGAAAATTGATTTATTTGATTTTGCAATGATATCAAATGATTTCTTGTAAATGAATTTAGTGGACAAGAAATTTCGATAAAGTTTGCTGAAACTTAAAAAGCAAATTTTGTCATCAAAAAGATGTTTATATTATCATGCTAAATTCTAAATAAAGGCGTGAACACGGAGAATTAAATAAGATTATGAATTTTGCTCAGTTTTTTAAAATTGAAAGTGATAACGGATGACATTCAAAATGTAACATATATGATGAAAATAAAACAGCTAAATGGTAATTGAAATTTTAAACTGACAAGGAATATTTGCTAGAAAAAAAATAACAAAAATTTTCTCAACCTTGAAATACTTTCCGAATACCAAGTAATTGAAATGACGGAATATAGTGATGGTAAAAAGAAACTTGAAAGATTTCGCAAAGTGAAATATATGTTTTGATGAGAATATTTGGTAATAAATAATAACTTACATCGTGGAAATGACTCGGTTGATCAGAGAAAAAGAATTCTTAGAGCACCAACAAGCATACAAACGCAAAATATATTTACATTTTGATTATGGCGAAAAGATCAATTTAGACCGGTTTCTCTTGCTTTTAATTAAAGAAGTTGATTAAGCATTCTTTTTTTTTCTTTTTTTTTTGAGATTTTCTCGAATACATCCATATTCGTATCTAAATAGACGATGTTAAAAGTAGTGAAATAATTAAAAACATAAAATTAATTAAAAAATACCTATTTCATCTCATTTTATCAAAAATTTAATCAACATCATGATTCAGTTACACATTTGTTTACAAGCAAAGCGGATACTGTGGAAATGATGAATATTTCTTCTTCAAGTTCACTTGATAGCTCATAAGTTGCAATCGAAATATTATTTATATGCATACTTCAGTTTTTTACATTTTAATGGAGATATATGAATTGTTTCCCGACGATGTTTAAATTGTAATTTTCTTTATATGTGAATTAAACTTAAATGTGAATTAGACTGGACCAATTAACAAGTTGAAATGAAATAAAAAAGTGCTTAGGAAAAACAATCAAAAACTACAGTTGATTTAGTTGCAAAAATCTCCTAATCAAGACATTGAAAATATGTACAAAAGCATTTAAAATAAGTAAAAGGTATCAGCGAAAAGATGAAACAATCAGGAAAATTTCTTTAGTTTATCTCATCAAACGTCAGTGTTTTTGTTGTAATAATAATGTTTCTTCTCATAACGCCTGGCAGAAGGTTTTAAAAACAAAGATGCATACGACCTTTATCAGCTTTTATAAGGTTATACCTTTATAATTATGACCTTTGTAAGGTTATACCACTGATAAGATGGCCAGTCAAAAAATGTTGACCTTGCATATGACATGTTCGTAGTGTATTTCATGTCCCTATCATTTTTACGAAAGAGTGAGAGAGGGTGAAAATTTTCACCAATTGCTGACATTTCACGTATGTAATTATTGTCCATTCGAAGGAGACGAATTAGACATTGTTCATAACAGAGTACCGTAAGTTACAAAATAAATAAATATATCAGCAACTAATTAAACATTGAGAAACGAAGACAACACTTCAAAAATGGTTTTTTCAAACATTTTCCTGACTTATTCGAAAATAAGCAAGTAAACAACTCCAGAAACAAAACAGATCACGTGTTTACTTTAGATTATGTCATGTTCTATTTCATACTTTTTCAAACACTGCGAAACAAGCGCCTTTAATTGTTCATCTTTAATTGAAGTAATTTTTTGTTTGTTTTCAAAAATTGCAATAAACCTAACTTTTATTTGCCACTACTAGTTATATTTTAACTTATTACATACTTTCTTTCATGTTAGATAATATTCTTCCTAACCAATATTTATTGATTTAAGTTCTATCCGAACAAATGGAATGGATGGAAGTTTCCTTTCAGTCACAAAATTTTGTGTTATAATGAAAAATTAAATTAAAATTTGGCTCTCAAGCTACCGAAAAACTAGATGATACAAGACAAAAAATAAAATAAAAATAACAGTGCATTTATAGAAGCATATTTGTAAGCTCTTCTTTTGTTTAATATTGACTGTTTTTCTGGCAACCTCAAGACTTATTTTTCAGTGAATGAAGCAGTTTAGGATTTCCAGAATGTTTTGATGCAACTAAATGCTACAAAAATGACTTCCGACTTTCACATATACTTGTTACGAACCCAACATCGGAATGACATGCACTATTTGCACACTTAATACTCGAGAGTAGACCACCATTGATCAGCATAAGTGTCATGTACACTCATGCATGTTGCACCCTGTGATAGTACTTTATTCATTAAAACTGTACATCCTGTGAAGGAAAGGGAATGAAATATGTAATACCTTTGGCCATGTGATACATTCATCTCAGATTCATCCACATTGAAAACAGTCAATCTTGGCTTGCTCGGTAATCGGGGTAATTCTGTCATCTACAATTAAGCAAATATGTACTGATCACATATAACGTCAACACCGACTGCTACACATATTCATCAATTATTAATCAGCAAAAGAAGTTAGGAAATTATCTTTCTAGAATATTACTTAATAGGAAACAATATAGTTTGAGGCACATTTTAATAGGCTTTAATATATTGCCAAGTGAGACAATCGAGACATTTTAATTATATTACAAAACCACTCCTGTAAGGCATACTTTAAATTTCTAAATAGCAGTTAGAAGTGAGAAAAGGATTGAGGAAATGTATTAATTAAATGACTGAACTGAAATAGTTATACCCAAAATATAGCTTTATATTTAGGCTAAATGTTAACTAAATACCAAACCGATTGAAATGATTTAAATTCTTAACAGAAATAAGGCAGGAGATCATTTTCTAAGTTTATAAATCTCCTCATCATGTCCATTTATCTATTTCTTGTTCATTTATTTTTTACATTAGTTCATTGTAAGCCTGGAATTTGCCATCTACTGGCTTCATAGAAAATACTGATTCAGTATTTCACTATTTATTATCCCAACTATCATGAAAACATAACTGTGATATAACGATGATCAGGTTTAATGATACCATACCGAACTTAATTTAATGAGACAACGGTAGCACGTGAAATTAGATACCACAATCAGTGTATACAGCAACTTCAACTGTATATGATGAATTGATCTCAGTTTTGAAAATTTTTGATGGAAACAAGAACTAAATTGTATTCTGGTTGAAAACGCCGGGGATAGGAGACCAGTTGGGGAGTGATTAATTTGTTCTTGAAACTAACTGCAATGTTTCACAGGAATACTGATCATTCGCTTTCCTCCCTCTTTCTTTCCCTCTCTTTTCACCTGTTCTGCAAAATCATGCAAAATTTATAAACCCAACTAGTCGTATTTCATTTGCATAATCAGATCACCAGCGGATTCCAACAAATTTATTGTCCCGTAAACATATTGTTTTTGCTGGTAGAAAAGCCAGAAAAATTTTTTGAAATATATATTAATAGCTATCGTGTTTACTATGATACAAAAAGGCGTTTTTAGTAAGCAAATAAAATTGCTTTTCTTTTCTAAATCAAATTTTTCAGCCACAAGTTAGTTTGAAGGGATTTCATCACTTAGTAATTCTTTCACTGATCATTTATAAGTGTTTATGCTATAAACTCTTGTTTCGTTCTTCACTCCTTAGTGATTGCCAAAAGAAGCCATGTAATGTATACAATTTTTACTGGTAATCATAAAATGCTTGAAGTTATGCCCAAATGAAGAACAAAATTATTGGCAAAGTATCAATGAGCAAATTCAATTCTTGCAAAAAAAGTTTACGACACAAAAAAAAATATAAACATCACGTTTTTCTACGGTAATTTTCATATTCCAGTTAATATATCATTAATTCACTAATCATAACATATCAAACCGCTACACATAACTTCACCAACTTTTTTTTTTGAAAAGGAGGGAAGCTCTTTCCAGAAATTAACTAACATCGTCCATCAACTTAAGCAATAAGTACTTCTTTCTGTTGCCTATGTTGTGGGAATGATCAAGATTTTTCTCTTTATCACCCTTTTCTTCTGCAGCTTATTTCTCTTTTTTCTTTCTAAATTTAATTCATTGTTTGCTTTACCAATTTTCACAGCAATGCAAGCCAACCATTCATTGATTATTTGCCCATAAACAATACACTCTGATACATATGATGTGACACAAATAACTGATTGGTCACTTCGGTCACACTTTTTCAGTAATGAATTTCAGCAGTTATTAATAAAATTAAAATAGCTAATACTGTGATAAAATATGAAAATTTTCAATTCAAATGAGGAATGCCTCAATGAGGATATTCAATAAATTAAAATCATTAAAGTCATGCTGGCAGATTCAAATACCAGCATTAAGATTGGAATCGCTACGATATTCATGAATTTGACTTCTTATAAACCTACCTGAGATGAAGTTTATGAAGAAGACAATGACAAGCTTGCATTCGTTCAATTTAAAATAGTGAATAAGCTCCAACACAATCCTTTACAGAACTGATAAGTGTTTTGCGATCCGTCAAATCATGAACCCATCTGTGGCTCATAAATTGAGTTAGGAATTTTTTACTTATTTACGAGAAGTTAATAAATTTCTTAATTGAAAAAAGTGCCCAAAAAAAAAAATACATTTAAAAATTTGAAAAGGAAATTTTTTACATTACCGCTTTCTTTTATAGCACTCGATTGTGGTATTTTTATAGCACGATCTAATACAATAATTGTACTTGAACATAGCATTTAAACTATTGCGTTGTCTCATTGAACGTAAACTGTAACAAGTAATTGAACCGATTAGATTTATGAGATGAAAAGTAGAAAAAAAACATCTTCTATTATGCAGTCAAAAAATTGAGGTAAGAGACCAAAAGATATCGATAATAGTTCAAAGAAGAAGCGTATAAATTGAACTTAAACAAATGATTAATTTCAACGAAGAATTTTGAAAACATAATCATGAACTTAAAAAGAGGAAAGCCTTGTACAATAACTACTTAAGTCATTTATTAGTATCAATGATTGTAAAAGCTAAAGCAATGGATATTTTGGTAATACAAATACTAGTCCTTTCTTGTTGAAAAATTAAAAACCTAATTTGAAGTTTTAACTGCATTTCAGATAGATGGTATGTCGTAAGAAGTTCCAGACAAAAACACCTCTAAATTGTCGAAGTTAATTTCATTGACGAGTGTAGGTTGAGACCAATTATCGCATCTGAAATATTTTTTGGTTTTATTACAGAACTATTTACGGTATGGTGCCTTCATTTTTTTTCCGAAAAATTTTAGACCTTTGAAACTTTTGAAATGGGGAAAAGTTGAAATATTTGCTTGTAAAAGATTTTTTGCCTTAAGCAGACGTCTTCAGTTTGAATGGCGGGTCCTTGTTTACTAAAACAATCCATCATATCTTGTATATCACCGCCAATAGGGGCCAACTTATGACCACAATCACTGGAGCATTTGTTCACTGAATTCAATGCTTGTTTTCGACATTCATCATCTTCCACCCATTTATATCGCTGCATTGAACTAAACAAAAAATGAAGGGAATTGGTAGGACTGAATCTGTATTCAATTTTATTCAAATTGATAGAAGAAACTGAAATGCTTCAGCTCATTTTTTTAATCAGCAACTGCTTAATATTCCACGAACAAATTAGTTCTCGAATTCAAAAGTTTCATAGCACTGTAAATCTTAAGGTGAGAATAAAGCTTGAAAAATTGGAGATATACTCGATAATCACAGAAAAACCCTTAAATTCATTTACAACAATGCTATCAACAATAAAAACCATCCAGACGATTGACATAAATCCCGTTTTGCTCATATTCCATAAGGACTGCTAAAAATTTTGTCCATTATTCCATGTAACCATAAGATTTTGATGTATAAGATTACCCGGAAATTTTCATAATTTTCGATAGAAAATGTAAAGTTTGAGAAAGTTTTTCATTTTTCCGACCTTCATAGAGATCTATAGGGTTAAGGCCAATATAATCTCTTTATTTTTTAACCCTCTTCATGAGCATGGTCTCTTTCCATTTTCTCTCACCACCACAACAGTTGCCGTTTTACCATTATTCCCAATCTTGCCACCTATCACATCTTACCTTCTTAAGATCCCTCGCTTTCCCCTTATCTTACCTTTGACCTTTTTCGAATTTTTTATGAGCCACTTAACTGCTGAAGCAATCAGATTGCAAATGTTAAAGCAGTTTTTGCATTTGAAAATTTTATGAATCTCTTCGAAAGAATTCATTCGACACTTGCTAATTTCAAAAGTACAAAAAAGTTTATAAAGCTTGCATTTCGTGAGATATCAAAATATTTACGGAGAAATAAATGGAAAATAATAGCAAATAAGATTTGATACCTCTTCTCTTCACACACTCATACAAATTCTCTTTATGTCCCATGATTTCTTCTCCTTTTATCGAATTTTGTTGAAGTTGAAATAATCCTTACTTATGAAGCAAACTTTAAAGTTAGAAGTAAAAAATTTCTTCAAATACCCCGCTTGAGAGGATTTTTTTAAGAACTAATTTATCTTTTGTGGCTAAAAAAATATTAAAGTGACCAATTCTGTATAACGTATAGAACAACAAAGCGCAAAATATTAGTGCTGTTCCGCAAAATCAAAATATTTCAAACAACTAAATCCTTAAAATTCCATTCACCCTTCAACCTTAAAGTTTGTTCATAACAAACAAAAACAAAACTCCATTCACTTTTTTCGTAACTTATCATCAATGGGTATACGTTTTCATACCTTTTCTTCCCATTATTTGGATTTTTAATGCAATTCAACAATTCCAATTTTCACCATCCTTAATTGTCAGAAAAGTCGATGCTCAACACATAAATCTTCATTGGTAAATACTGTACAAAACAATATGGAAATTCACCTCTTTTTTGATACTTCATCCAGTTAATTTCATCACCTCGTCCATTATTCTTTGCCATACAGATCCAAATTCTGTCGTTTCCTTGAATGACACTCAATTGAATGATATGACACTTACTGGGGATCACATCACACTTCCCGGTACAGTACTCATCTACCCACGATCCGCTACAAGTCCTTTCTGTACCATTCTCTTCATTTCAGCCACTTCTAACAAAATTATATTATTGCTTTCGTCAAGTTGTTCGTTGATCGAATTCCACATGGTAAATAAAAGATTGAAAAGTGCAATTTACTAACATCAAAAATGAAATTATTCGAATTACAGATCTAATTCTAAGTCTGACGGATGGACCTTACCAATCTTTCAGTAATATTATTTACTGAAATGTTTTGTAACATATATTTACTTGCATTAAGTTGAGGTAGCGGGAGTGGGTAATTGAAGAAATGGGAGAATTAATGGTGTCTCATTTTCTATTATTGACATTAGAACTGCACGAACTATTGGTTTAACATCAAATTGAACTACTTCGTAAGGTAAATTCCTTAATAGTAGCTTCACTTCTTTTTCTAAGATAAACCAAAATATAAGTAATTGAAAGGAAGAAAGAAACTTGTGGCTGCATTTTAGTCTGTTTCGTGTACAGTTGTACAAGAAAAATTTCAGAAACACTGATAGAATGATTTTCCTTTTTTTTGAACGGAAGAATTTTGATAATCGAAGAAAACTGAAGCATTTGTAGCATCAGAGTCAAAAGAATAAAAACGAATGTGTGATAGAAAGAGACAAGTGAGGTACAGAATGGTCACTTGTCCGTAACCTTAACCTTTTCAGGAAAAGTGTGAAACACTTTAAAAATAACTAACATTTAGGAATCGGATCACAGCTTCTTCCAAATGCACGTTTGACGTCAATCAGTCTGTAGACTGTGTCGACGGGCATCGAATATTTCTGCAAGGATCACGACAACGACAATGGTTACAACCATTGTGGTTCTTTCATAGCTAAAATTAGTAAATACGGAGGAGGAACATTGCAATTTTTTGCCATTATAAAGATGACGACAACATTTAAAACAACAAAAATGAATATTTTGTCTTTTCTAATTCTAATTTCACCTCGTTTCACTTTCCAGTGCAATGGAGTTTATAGGAAATATAATCTGAATATCTTCTTTAAAAATAAATTTAAAGGAATAAAGGGAGAAGTTAAACTGATATCTCAAAGAGCAATTCAATTTACAGTTCAGTAATGGTTATGACCAAGGTAGATGACAATTAAGGCATGAATGAAAATTTGGTGTTCCTGAATGAAGCATTTATTCAAAGTTTTGATAATTGTCAAGTAAAACTCGAAGCATTCGAAGAAGGAAAATAAATCATAAAGTTCATTTTACCAGCACAGAGCATAATCTCTTCGAATTTAAACCTTTATAGCAGAAGCTTACGCCACTTACGGTTGGAAATTACCGGATCTCCGACAACAATAACTGCTTGAATTACGGCAATAGAACAAAAAGACAGAACACCGCCCAACGACATGCATTGCATATCACTGCTGTAGGAAGCAAATTCAAATAGATCAGCCTATATATCACATAAACATTTGGTTTACAACAACAAATAACGAATAACATTTCAAGTTTGCAAAAATTCCCAAAACATTAAGACCTGTCAAACTTCTCCGAATCCGGAAGAAAAAAGTAAAACAATATCAAATCAACTGTTGAGATTATTATTTAAAAATTCCACAACTGCTTCTAGTCGAATTCATGATACATTTAATTGGTGTCAGTAAGTTCATTCCAATATAGTAACGTTTCTGACAAGCAAAAAGGAAATAAGTCTTCTTTAGTAAACAAAGTAAAAGCAAAAAATATAAATCTGAGTACCATACGAAGGAAAATGGCATCTTACACGGACTGAAATAATCACATGTTGACATGTTCAGCATTCATTTCTGTCTGTTCCAAATCCGTATGCGCAGCTTTTCTTCATTGGGCAATGATGTGGAGAGTGTAATTATCGCGCTGAAGAAAGCTTTTTTTAAATAGCCTTATAATTATCCTACATAAATTCCTAAAATTAAAAAAAGTGTTCTATGTGAGAATGTGACAAGAAAGTCTTTAAAACCATGAGTTTACATTAATTAACCTCCATAATTTGATGTTTCTTCATTTAATATTTTTGTTCTTTCCAGTTCCGAACCTGTTCAGAGAAGCAATAGCAATACAACTCATTAAATTGTATATTTTATAGTGCATCTCCAGCAAATGCAAACTACAAATTTGCAAACTATAGCCAAAGAAGGTAATTGAGATGGTATTTAAACAAATGAACAATAAAAAGTGATTTTTATGCGAATTATTTATGCAAAGAATCTGAGAACTTGTAAAACGTTATAAATATAAAATTAAAAGCAACTAAAAACTTTAGCAAAAACTTGTTCAACACAGAGAACCATATTTTTTCAATAATAAAGAACAAGGGAGGGCGCTAACAAAGAAGTCATCCTAACAAGCAATCGAAGCGAAGGGAAAAAAAAGCACAATGAGATAATAAACGTACAAAGCAAACGATGTGGATATTAGATCTGAACAAAGAAGGGCTCTCGGCGATATAAGCGGAGTAACTTCTCATTACGGATCACATCGGGTTGATGAGTTGAGGGACGATTGTGTTAGGGCGGGCTTAGGTCGTGCTAGAGAAAATGCTTAGGAGGACGAGTAAGAGGATTTCGTTTCTCATGACACCTATATTTTGAGGTGCGGAGAACAATCGACGACAACAACGGAAGTTTAGCTACCCAAGTTGAGTATTAAACGACGTGAATTTCGACGAAGAGGAATTCAACGGGTAGAGCACAATATTCTGGCAATAAACGACGACGTACGAGCAAAAACCAAGTTACGACATTCAACGGCAATTCAAGGATCAAGAAGTAAAAGGGAAGAAAACAACAGTCAGCTCGACCAGTTCTACTGATAGTACAACGCGAGCGAAGAGAAGAAACGTGATATGAATATAAATTAAGCAGGAAACAATTATATAAAAAGAATTGTCTTCTTATCAAATAAAGGTTGAAATATTCTTTTTTACAATTCCCGTTAAAAATTTCAGCGACTATATTAGGTCATAATTGACAGATGTTCCTCAAGAAACCAGATTACTTATTATTTTGGATTGTTGCATCGTTCCCAACACGAGGTTATGCGGTACTTTTGCAGTTCAATTAACGATCGCTTTGCAATTCAATGTGATCGTTATTTTGAACAGAATAACCACTTTAAATTTGCAACTAATTTGTTAATCTGATTAGGGGACTTCCATTATTTCTAATTGCTGTATCAGTGCATGCTGTATCAAATATGATTGCAACAATCGAAACTCACGCAATTTCTGATCAAATTCTACCTTAAAAATTTTCATGTTAAAAATGAAATGAATAAAATCAACTTGATATTTTAAAACAAGACATTCCACAACTGTTATAGCAACACTTTTTGCATCTACCATCGTTAACTGCAGAACAGTATAAATTTTGTGCATGCATACAGACTTTAAATCTGTATTCGTCAAGTGAGCTTTACTAAATTTAAGCTACCATTCCATTTTTA